CGCGCCCGAGGGCCGCGGCGAGGGCCCCCGCGGCGGCGCCGTCGTCGCCGCGCGGCCGCGGGCTCCGGCGCCGGGGGCTCGCGGCCGTCGCGGCCGTGACGACCGTCGCGCCGCCGACGAGGGACGCGGCGTCGTCGTCGAAGTCGCCGCCGCTCGGCGCGTCGCCGCTCGGCTCGCCCAAACTGTAGTCGGCGACGCCGCCGGGGGCCTCGCCGCTCGGCCGGTCGCCGATGCTGTAGTCGCCGACGGACGCCTCGTCCGTCGCGCCGAGGTTCGAGTTGTCGTAGAGCGAGCCGATGGCGTTGTGGAGCGCCGCGGAGACCTTCTCCTCGATGAAGCCCGTGAAGTCGGAGACGCTCGACTTCTCGTGGAGGTCGTCGCTCCGCGGCGAGCACGCCGCCTTGCCGCGTTCGTAGTACGCGTCGCTCCGCGGCGTCGGCGCGGCGTCGCCGGCGCCGACGGCCGCGCGCGCGGCGTCCGCGGCCGCGCGCATCGCCGCGCGGACGAGCGCGTCGGCCGTCGCGTCCCGGACGCGCGCGGCGGCCGCGGCGAGGGCCCACGGCGACGCGCCCAGGATCGTCGCGGCGACGGCGGGGACGTCGACGGCCGCGGCGGCGGCCGCGCCCCGGTCGAGCGCGGCGGCGACGGCGGCCTCCGCGGCGTCGGCCGCGGCGTCGACGGCCGAGCGCGCGGCGTCGTCGTCCGCGCGCGCCATGGGCGTCGGCAGCAGCGGCGGATGGTGGGGCCGGGGCGCGCGGTCCGTGGGCTTGAGGGGCGCGCGGTGCTTCGCGCTCCGGGGCCGGGCGGCGGCCTCGGGCACGGGCGGCGCGTAGGGCGCGCGCGCCGTCGCGGACGGCGGCCGCACAGACGGCGGCCGGCCCTCGGAGCCGCCGCTCTCGAGCTTCGGCGCCGCGGAGCTCGGGCGCCTCGTGGCGCGGCGCGCCTCGCCCGCGTGTCGGTCGCCGTCGGAGAGGGACGCGGCCCGGTCCGGCCCCGGATAGAGGCGCCGGGACGCGAGCGCCGCGACCTGGCTGCCCAGCGCGAGGCCGACGCGCCGGTCGTCGCGGCGCGCGTCGACGCGGACCGTCGTCCGGAAGAGCCCCGCCGACGCGGGCCGCTGCTTCGCCGCGGGCGCGTAGGGCGGCGTCGCGAAGAGGAGCTTGCCCTGCTTCGCGAGCGCCGCGAGGCACGCGTCGACGGCGCGCCGCGCGTCCGGCCTGCGCAGGTCCGCCGGGTCGACGCGGCTCACGACGCCGTCGAGGGTCGCGAGCTTCGCGAGCAGGGCCGCGTCCGCGGGGCCCGACGGCTCGAGGCTCAGCACCTCGCAGCCCCAGCGCAGGCGCCGCACCTTGCCCGCGGCCGCGGCCGTGTCCGCGCGCGGCGCCGCGGACCTCACCTCGAGGATGCCGATGCGGCCCTTGAGCGCCGCGCCCCCGCTCCGCGGCGCCGTCGCGGCGGTCGACGCGTCGGAGTCGAGGGGCTCCTCGCCGCCGGCGACGGCGGCCCAGAGGCCCGGCAGGTGCGCGCGGACGGCGCCGCGGAACTTGGACCGGTACGGGCCGAGCGCGACGGCCCCGGAGAGCTTGCGCCCCGCGAAGATGTCGGCCGCGGCGCGCCGCGCGACGGCCGGGTCGCCCTCGCCGGCGCAGAGGCGGCCGCCCGTGACTGCCGACGCCGCGCGCGCCGCGGAGCCGAGGAGCAGCACGAGCTCCGCGAACGACACGAGGCCGTCGCCGTCGAGGTCGAAGACGCGGAAGAGCAGCGCCGCCTTGGCGTCGTAGCCGCCGCCGTGGGACGCCAGCACGCAGCCGCAGAGCACGCAGAGCACGGACGCGACGGCGTGCCCGCCCGCGAAGGCCGCGAAGACCTGGGCGCTCCGCCCGGGCCCGAGCAGCGACTCGAGCTGCGCCGCGTCGACGACGGGCGGCAGCCGCAGCCGCCCCCGCAGCCGGATCAGCCGCGCGACGTCCTCGAGGCTCAGCGCCAGCCACCGGTCCAGCGGCGGCTCGAGGCGCAGGCCGTCCGCCATCGTGTCGGGCAGGCCTTGTTCGCAAACCGTACGACATCAACGTCGCGATTGCCGTTCACTTGCCGTGCGGGCTGCATAGCATGTAAGAAGCATGGGCTGCTTCATAGATCTCGCAGCATGACTCGGGGAAGAGTCACCGAGTGGTACAGCCTAGAGCCAATACCGTTGCGAGAACCCAGCTGCCGCGACCTCGCGGACACATTCGATGGCACAGCCTACGAGGCCTGCCGAACGTATCCATACGGGGACCTCGACATCTGCCACACGCTCTGCAGCCGCATCATCGATGCGGTCGTGCCGGCCGCGGCCGTCGCCGCCAGCGTACCCACGGTCATCACCGAGAGCCACGTCTCCGCGGGCCTCGACGGGCGCGCGTGGGACCCGGCCGCGCGCCGCCGGCTCGTCCACGTCGCCTTCGACGCCTGCTGCCACCACATCCTGCTCGAATGGGTGCCCGAGGGCTGGCGCGTGCTCCAAGCCCACGTCGAGAACGGCCGCCGCGGCTACCGGGCCCGCGAGTGGTGCCGCCCGACGCCGGAGCCGGTTCCCGTCGGCTCCGCCGACGCGGGCACGGCCCACTCGCGCTGGGGCGGCGGGCGGCTCCTCGACGACGCCGCGATCGACGACTTCTGGTCGCGCTTGCTCAAGCTGCGCGAATGCTGCGACGCGCTTCTCGAGGACGTCCTGCTCTCCCAGGTCCCGCGGGGCGCCGACGCGGCGACCTGGGCCCGCGACGTCCTGCTCGCCGGCGACGCGAGCTCCACCGAAGACCGCGACTCTCGAGGCGTCCGCGCCGGCGACGTCAGGATCTTCCGCCGAAGCACCGGCGCCGAGCTCCTCCGCGTGCCGCTCCGTCGCGCCAACGAGCTCGACGCGGCCTTCATGGAGGTCACGGGCGAGGAGGCGGCGGTGGCGACCCACCTGCGCATCCTCAATCACGCCGGCTACGCGGACTCGGGGCCAGCGCGAGGGTTCGTCGCGCGGGGGATGGCGTGGTCGTGAGATCTCGAGAGGTTCAAGTTGCCGGCAATGTTGAAGTCGAGAGCTCTTGTCTCAAGGGGATATAAATCTAGATGGGGTGGCAGGCGAAACGCGAGGTCCTCGTACTACTCGGGGCCGCCGCTAGCGTTTTCTTTCTTCTTCCACGCCGCAGCGCGCGGGCTGAGTGCAACGATGGCGGGTCGCGCGGCGCGGCGCGGCTGCGGAACCCTTCGACGGGGCGGGGCAGCGAATTTGGGCTGCTGAGATCATTGCGTTGGCTCGCGAGCGCGACGGTTGTTCGGCGGCGGGACGAGAGGGCGGCGGTGTGAGTCGAGTGTGCGATATTTTCTTGTCCTTAGAGGTTGGAGGCGCCCTATGGGTACCCGCGGGGGGCTCGAAACCTTCAGGACACACTTTTCCCACGATCTCAGAGCCTGCGCAGCCCCGGCGCCGACGGTGTCGCAACACAGTTTCTCGGGCAGCGTGCGGGCATTCGAGGTCGAGAACTTTTCGTGTCCTGAGATGCTCGAGCCCATCCATAGGTACCAACGAAGGGCTCTGCAGCGCCAGCAGACGGTCCACGACCATCATCATCGCGAACACGTCC